ACTGGGAGCCTTGACAAATTCAATAACTGCACGTACAGCTTCTTCCTTGGCTTCACCCAGGACTTGGGTATCCTCATTGGAGAAAGTCGCCAAATATTTTGTTACAAAATTAAGGGATTCTTTCGCCAAACTGAAATATTGATATTAAAAAAAACCATGAGGTCATTGGTACACTTAAAAGGACAAGAGAGGAAATAAAGAAGAGAAAGAACGACTGATGAGCAGAGTATAAACCTTGTTGCAGTACCTTTTATTTTCTCTCAGCACTTTAGCAATGGCAAGAAATAGTTCCCGCTGATCTTTGATGTCAATATTCCACTCTTTCAAGAAGCTATCAATCTTCTTAAAGGAAGGCACTAAATACTCAGTAACCTTCCCGTTCACAGCGAGTTCTAGAGCTTTCATGTAGACTTGAAAACGAGCGTATGGGTGGTCCAACAGATTATATAGATTGAAGAGGCTGTACAGAGACAAAACAAAACAAAAAACAGATGAGAAGCATGTAACATATAAATGAAACCTCAAAAGATTCACACAGTCATACATTTTCAAACGCAATGAAGCTTTGTCACTCGGCTGCTGAACAATCTTAGAAGCTATAACTTTCACCATTTCAAGGACTGCCTCAGGACTTGTCACATTCTTGACAAGGCTGCAAATGATGGTGTAGGTACACTCAAGATCTGGCAAGAGGCAAACAACATCAAAATTACCCATAAATCACCCAAAACAGCTATATTATTGCCGAACCGGGACAACCAGATGGGGCAGTGGTAAGACAGACCTTTCTCAGAGATCTTGGATGATACCAAGTCAGCTGAAGTTACCATTAACGTTGCCAACTCCACCCACCTTCCCGCGACTATAGATTCCTCTGCCTCCCTACATAGTCTGGTAACTTGGGGCTCTGCAGCCTAAGCAAAGATAACAATCGTTAATCTGCGGCAAATTCTTATGAAAAAGGTAGATCAGGTGAGACTGTAATAGCCATAGTAGTTAGAACACTAAATTGCTCAATTCGAATTATTTTATCTGGATAAGAGCGGACCATACTTCACAATGCTCATATGCATAAGAATCCAGAATGACCGCTCCAATCGAAAACATGTAATAGCAGCCAAAAATTGGAAAATCAAACTCGATTTACATCTCACCAATCAATAATTCGATAACTCCAGTAATTCTTCATAAATTCCCAAAATAGTCTAACACTTTCGAAATCCAATACATATGCATAATACCATAAACACCTAAAAAAATCGAAATATACAATCGTTCGCACTTGTTAAATGATCCAGAATCAAGAGTGTACCTCGGGACCCGCATCGGCCCAGGCAAGCTGAGAAGTGAAACGGACAATGGCGAGCGAAGGATCTTCTTCGGAGATTGGAACAATCGTCGTCATTATCTGCTCTTGTTCGAATCTTCGCTTCTCTCCTCGACTGAGTCCTAACCTGAATCCTAAATCCGTAGGAGAAGAGAAGTTCTTCAGCAGTAGAGAGACGAAGGAATAATTGGAAAACCCTAATCGACGCTTTATGTTTTTCCGGTTCAAAATTAAACCCCCCCCAATCCAACGGCTATTCGTGCATCAAAATAAAATCGAACGGTCGTGGAGAAATCTATTACAGTTTTGGATTTTATGCAAGGAGGATTCTCTCTAGATCAGTGTTGTTCTTTTGGTTACATGATTTCAAAATTATGGTATCTGTTTGTGAGATCGGATTCTTGTTTGGTTAACTTGTTTGAGCAATTAGTGTAAGTTCCATAAAATGGTGACTAAATTGATGGTTTTTTTCCCATAAACATGAAAGCTACTACTTTACATTGGATTGTAAAATGATTCAGGATCGATGATTCTACGGATATCTTAAAATGATTTGTGAA